AAAAAAAAAAGAATATAATATTGATTATTATTATATATTAGATAAAGATTCTTTCTACATGTGCGCTGGGCCGCTCGCCCACAGCTCCACGGTCGTCCGTTTCCTCCGCTCCCGGGCGCGGGCGAGCTCTTCCGGGGCCGGAAGGTCGCCCCGGGCTATCTGCTCAGCCCGCACCCAGTAGCCTTCGGCCAACACCGCCGCCTCTATCTCCCAGGAGGGAGTGCCGGTCAGAAGGCAGGCTGCAGCATGGCATACCGTTCGGTAGGCCCGGCATATTCGCGTCGCGATCCGTCCGCGACGCGTCTAAGGCATCTGCCCATACTGTAGCGCCTCTAAAATAACGCTCCAGGGCAAGGTGTTGAACGCGTTCGCGATGTCCAAGGACACCGCGAGTACCACCTCACCCTAGGCGACGGCAGCCTCAGCTATCCCCTTCACCCTCTTCAGGGCATGTATGGTCGACCGACCGCTCCTAAAGTCATACTGGTTTGCATTTAGGTTTGGGCCCGCTGTCGCCAAATGCCTCTGCAGCCGGTTGACGATGACCTTCTCGGAGATTTTGGCCGCTTCATCCAATAGGATGATCGGCCTGTATCCCGCAGGGGATTCCGGCGGACGGCCCTCCTTCCTTAATAGGACCAGAGTACCCTCCTTCCAGTGCAAGAGAAAGCGGCCTTGAGCCAGACACTCATTCAGGAGTGCGACCACTTCTTCCTCATAGGCGTCCGCGGCCAACACCCAGGCGCGGCCCGGTATCCAATCTGGGCCCGGAGCCGTCCGCTTGGCGCGGAGCCGACGGATCGCAACCCCGAATTCGCCAGCGGTGATGGGAGGAATATCCTCGGCGGTGTCATGGCTACCCGGCACTCTGAAAGGTGGCGTATACGTCCCCCTACACGGAAAAAGGGCATCCACACTCTCCTGCACCAGCTGTGGCTGGAGGCTCTGCATCAGAGCCGGAGCCCGTTGCCTCAGCTTCCCGCGAACCAGAAGGTAGAGGCGGCCCCACGGATCCTGGTTGAGGGAGTCCAGCATCTGCTCTCGCGCCCTATCCTTCGATTCGCGGATTGCCCGGCTCAGGGCTAACCTCGCGTCTTTGTACGCAGTCCTCAGCCTGGCCTCTTCGAGCGGATCCCTATGGCGCCTCATCCGGTATCTTAGGTGCCGTCGCCTTTCGGATACGCACGCTGCTCGCAGCTCCGCGATCTCTGCCGTCCACCAGAACACCTGTCTTTTTCTTGGTGGAAGCCCTTGCCGCGGCATCGCCACATCACGCACTCGAGTTAGAGATGCGCGCAACGCGACGGCCCTCTGATCGACGTCGGGTGAGCTGACTACTGGTGACCACGTCTCCACCTGAGCAGCTTCCTTGAGCAGGTCCGCATTGATCCGCCTCACCACCCATATTGCGATGGGGCAACTCGGGTCCCTGATGGTCTGGAACCGTAGGAGCCTCCGACACGGTGATGCGGATGTAATGGTGGTCTGACAGCGTTTCTGTCCCTTCCATTACATCCCATCTGAGCACTCGGTTCACCGTCGCCGGGCTTGCGAATGTCAGGTCCACGATTGAGTTGCCCTGTGGGCGGACGCAAGTGGGTTTCGAGCCGCGGTTTATGAGGCAAAGCCCCGTGGTTACGGCCCACTCCTCGAGTACTGCGCCCCGAAGTGTCGTGATTGAGTCTCCCCAGGCGGAGCTTCTCGCGTTGAAGTCGCCCATGACCAGCACAGCACCGGAACGACCCCCGCGTATAAGAGCTCCGACCTGGTCGAGCAGATGCTCGAACTCGGCGAGACTTTTGCTCGGGGCGCAGTAGACGCCTAAAACCAGGGTACCTCCCACATTGGCACCAACGTACCCCCGGCCCTTTCGCACCCCATCAATTGACAAGGCACTCGAGGACCGGGGCAGGATCAGGGCCACCACGTCTTCCTCGTCACCCGCCCACTCCTCCCTATTGGGGATGAAGTATGGCTCAGACACAACGGCGATTTACGACGCCAGCTCAGCCATGCTCTGAAGGAGCAGGTCCTGAGCCCGCGCGCAGTCATTTATGTTAGCCTGTAGAAGTTGAAGGGCCATTTCTAATCGTAACTTCTTCCGTCTCCATAGCTATGGCTATTGGCGCCTGGTGTGCTGGTAATGGCCGTGTGGGCAACCCTCGTGTGATCTTCGGGGCCGGAGCGGAGCAACCCTTTCCTCCTAACCTATGGTCAGCCTTCTTGTTCGCCGCAGCGCAGATGGTGCAATGCGGACTGGATGTGCACTGTTTAAATTTGTGACCATCCACACCGCAGCGGAAGCACTGATAGCTACGGTAAATTTCCGCGTTACATTGCGCCCTGACATGTCCTCGCTGGGGACACCGGTAGCAACGCAATGGCTTAGGCTGGAGCAGCTTGACGCTTACGGTTACCCATGACATGGTCAAGCTACCCGCTTCGCCGTTGCAACTGGGCACTCTATCCATGCGTGCCCCACGCCGAACCTGTCTTGGACCACGCCTGTGCACCGCAGAATTTCTTTGGTGCAGCCCCCTGCTTCGGCCACTGCAGTCAAGACCTCATCGACGGTTGCTGAGTCATCCAGCCCCGAGACTTTGACCTCCGAGGTCTTGGCCGGTCTGGAAACGCGGACCAATTCTACATCAAAGATCTGGGTTAGCCTTTCGGCTAACGCGTCGGCCTGTTGCCCGTTACCCTCGCCCAGAACTTCGAATCTGCGCGCCCCGGTGGCACAGACTCGGAAACGCACGCCAGTTGTGATGCCTATCTCCTGCAGTTGTATCCTGGCCTTTGCCTCCTTAATCACCGCGTCGTACGTGAGACCCTTTTCTATCCCGGCCTATGTTATAGCTACGACCACGGCAGCAATATATATATATATTTTTTTTTTTTTTTTAGGTTAGGTTTTTTTTTTTT